CTCCGCGCTGCCATCCGCGGCTCCGCAGGTGAGCGGCGGCGGGCGGGCCGCGGTGTCCTTGCCGTGACCCGGCGGGCGGGCGGGCAGGCAGGCCTGTGGCTCGGCGTGAGCCCGCTTCCATGTACGTTTACTCGGTGCTGTGCGCCCCTACGGGAGCCGAGCTCTTTGTGGCAGTGCGAGCTGCTTCGCCGCATAAGCCTTGAAGCAGATCTCTTTTTCAATGGGGAAAAGCCGAATCTTTTAGATTCAGGATCGGATGGCGGCACTCGGGGTCGTGCTGTGGGGCGGAGGTGGGCTTATCCTGGGGCTGGCAGCCCGGCCCGTCCTGCTGCAGCCCTGAGGGCACAGCGTGCTGCTGCCGTGCTGTCATTGGGGAAGGTCAGACCTGCGTTCTGCGTGCATCTGCCTCCTTCCTGCTCTGCTAAGGCAGATGTAACGCTTTTAATCACGTTATAAATCAGAATCGCGGCTTCAACTTTAGGTCTGGTTGAAAATCTGGTTGAGTTTTGTGCTTAGCGAAGCTCCCCGTGCTGCTTCCCATCGACCCGGTTGTGCTTCCTGTTGGTTACAGCTGCTGTGATCTTCGAGGCTGAAAAGCTGTGGTGGGGAAGGAGGAGGAGCGCAGCCCAGGCCGGTGGGTTGTGCACGGGGTGCGAGCCACGTGGCCGTGGTTCCTTTCCTTTTAAAGAAAGCTTCAGCTGCGTGGTGCCCGCAGTTCATGCTGGGTTAAGGGAACAAAAAGCAAGCAGCGCTGTGGAGGCCCTCAAGGTCACGCCTGAGCCTGGCTGCTCTGCAAACACTGGCACGGGGACGCTGTGGTGGAGCAGAGCAGAGCCTGCTGGGCTGTGCCTTAAACTAAAGGATCAGATTGGAAAAAAAATAACGTTGGCGTGCACACAGACATCAGAGCCAGGAGTTTTATCTTAGACACAGAGACAGCAGTGCTTTTTTTCTCGTTGAACTCTTCAAAACTAAGATGATCAGGGGACTGGAGCACCTCCCCTATGAAGACAGGCTGGGGGAGCTGGGCTTGTTCAGCCTGGAGAAAAGTAGGCTGCGGGGTGACCTCAGTGCAGCCTTTCAGTACCTAAAGGGAGCCTACAAACAGGAGGGGAATCAACTCTTTGAAAGGGGAGATGACAGCAGGACGAGGGGAAATGGTTTGAAGTTGGAGAAGGCAGATTTAGGTGGATGTCATGGCGAGTGGTGAGATGCTGGAACAGCTGCCCAGAGAGGCTGTGATGCCCCGTCCATCCCTGGAGGTGTTCAAGGCCAGGTTGGATGGAGCCCTGGGCAGCCTGGGCTGCTATGAAATGTGGAGGTTGGTGGCCCTGCATGTGGCAGGGGGTTGGAGATTTGTGATCCTTGAGGACCCTTCCAACCCTGGCCATTCTGTGATTCAATAATCTGCTGGAAGGAACAGCCCTTCCCCTGGCAGCACTTCTGTAGGTGTTCTTGGGCCATTCTGTGCGTTTCCCTAAAACAGCTTTCACACAAACCTTCCTCAGTTTGGAGCTTGTGCTGGAGCCAAAGGCTGCAGCTTGTTACCAGTGAGGGTCACAGAGTGAGTTGCTGAGTGCTTTCAGGAGTTGTCTGCAGTGGAGAATTGCTCCAGAATAAGTCAGGGGATTGATTTCAATTGGATAACATCAGAACTCGTAGGCTGTACGTACTCATTTCTGAAAGGAATGCTACTGAAAGTTGATTAACCTAGCTCATCTCACTGCACAGACCAGTGACATTCCATGGGTTTGCTTGGCTCTGGAAGGAGGTAAAGTTCTTTTGTCATATGGAAGCAGGAAGCTTCTGTCATAAGCTGCTTGTACAGAATTGCTTTTCTCTGCATTTCCTCCACCCTGCTGTGACTGAAGCTGTGGGAGCCCTTTGGCAGTCTGTGCTTTAGAGTGAGTAGGACACGCTTTGCCACAAAACCAACAGCTGCCATAAATAAGCTGTCCTCATCCAACGCTTATCCACCCCGAGTGCTGACCCAAATGAAACGTAGTGAGCGAGGTGTACGTTTTTACAGCTTGTGGTCTCCTGGTCAAGGCTCGAGTGCCCTTCTTTTTGTATATTTGCTCAGAGCTTCCTCCTTTCTGCTTTTACCCAGCTGTGCAGCATGCCCGCTGTTACTCCCACGGGTCACAGGAGTCAGATGAAGAGTTTGATGCCCGCTGGGTGACGTATTTCAACAAGCCAGACATCGATGCCTGGGAGCTAAGGAAAGGTACGTTGAATCCAAAGGGAAGAGCAGCCTGCTTTGTGATAGTGCTGTGACTAGGGGGAACTTGTTTTTATTTGGCTCTGAGGCAGTCAGAATGCAGGCTCTCTTGCCTCAGAATACAGATTTTAACGTCCTATCTTTAGAGAAAGGGAGAAAAACTTTTGCTGTGGGGAAAGGGTTTCTGAGCTCAGCGGTTGCTTAACGCGTGACCACACTAATTTTTCTTTGGACTTTGACTGTGTGGTTTGGCCATGATGTGCTGCAGACCGTTTGTTTGGTTGCCTTCGTGTGTTACTTGCTGTGGAGTTGCCAGCTGCTATTAAACTGCTTCAATTAGGGCTTGTAAAAATCTTTGCATAACAGCCATGGGGCTCGTTGCTGCATGACTCGGATGGCCAGGTTGGGCTCTTGCCTTTGAAAGGAGAGGAAGGGAATGACTGCTTTCATTAGGCTTGGAACAAAGTCATTTGGATTTCTTAATGATTGCACGGCTCGCTTGCCACAGTGTATACACTTTTTTTTGAGAGCATGGATGATCCTGGCCCACTGGGATTTCATCATGCCTGTTTAAGAGATGGCAGTGGCTCTAGTTGTGAAAGGGAAGGAGAAAAAAAAAGAAAGCCCCTGGGGGTGGAGGGGTTCAAAATAGCAATGGAGGTTGTAATTGCATGATGCTGCTGATTGCTGCCATGTTAATAATTCTTTCACAGAGCAAGATAATACTTAGTGGCTTCCTTTTGACAGCACGGTGAGTCGATGCCAAGTTGCTCCTGCTGTTCCCTTGTATCCACAGGTGTAAACACGCTCGTGGGTTATGACTTGGTTCCGGAACCAAAAATCATTGATGCAGCTCTGAGGGCGTGCAGACGGTTAAATGACTTTGCCAGCGCAGTCCGCATCCTGGAGGTGGTGAAGGTGAGTGGGATGGTGCCTTGGGCTCTGGCTGCTGCTCAACGTCACCAAGAGCCCAGCAGCAGGAGATTCTGTTGGCTTCGTGTTAGTGGCACAAAGGGAAGCCTACTGTTCTAACCAAACCAGTGGGGTCGCTGCGATCGCGTGCTCGGCGGTTTGAAATAGTGGCTTGGAGGTGAAAGTAACAGCACCCATTCACAAGTGTGACGTTCTTACTTGTGCATTTTCATTTTCTGATGCTCACCTTAGTGGGAAAGTCTTTAGGGGCTTTATTTTTTTTTCTTCTTTTCCTTTTAATAAGTGCTGCTGGATGTATCTCAGCAAAGGTAAATACTGCCTTCATGCAGTCCTAAATGCTGAGCTGGCTGGGATTACCGACTCAGGAAGTTGCATTAGAAAAACAGTATAAACCAACCCCTTGAAACCTGAGCCCAGGTTGGCTTAACTCCTTAACAGGAAGTGGGAATGGGTGGGGATGGAGGCAGAGGTCTTTTTCATTGCCTTAGAAGCCAGTAGCTGTGCTCTGCACAGGGACAGTCCCAGAGGACTCTGCTGCTAGCTACCAAATCCACTTGTTTCAAACAACAGTGCTCTGCAAGACTGGAGGTACAGACTGGATGATGATTCCAATCTGTTTCCTGCTTGGAAGCTATCTGTGGGCTGGTTTACAAACCATCCCTTGTTTTAGGAGCTTGGCAAGGCTTGTAGCTTTGTGTATTGCCAGTGGTGGTTCAGGCCACAGACTGCTTTGTGAAAATGTCTTATACATGGTGGACTTCACAACGACTTGCTCTCTGGTTAACATCATTCTTTCCCTTTTAGGACAAGGCAGGCCCGCACAAGGAAATCTATCCCTATGTTATCCAGGAGCTTAGACCAACTTTGAGTGAACTAGGAATCTCCACTCCAGAGGAACTGGGCCTGGACAAAGCATAAACCTTGTTGGTAAGAGATTCTCTCACTTCGCTTGCAGCACTTGCTCCTACCAGACTTGGCCACAAAGGAAATATTACTTTAGCGACACTAAAATATGTATGAAATAGGTATGCCTTTGTGTCAAAAATCTGTTCTCCACAGATCCCTAGCTGAAATACTCGTGTGAGTAAATAAAATTCTGTAAAGGATGAGATTTGATTGAAGCTTGACCGTGGTCTAAGCGGAAAGACCTGGGCTGAAGTAAAGCCCAAATAAAACTTCTCGTTGAATGGACTTATAATAAGGCAGTTTGTTGGCTCAGGAGATAGCCAGTGTGGGAATTGTGGAGTGCTGCTCTAATAGGTTTTCTGCTCTTCTATTCCAGGTGCATTACTGGAGCGTTCTGCCAGTGCTGCCCGATTGTATACAGTCGCCTCAAGTCAGAAAAGTTCAAGTATCACCTTATTTCAAATAACTTTATTGAATTGCAATGTATGTGATGTGGAGTTGGACTTAATAAAGGAAAACCTAGTTGAACTGAGGCAGTGCCTTGTGTCGTTACTTTGTGGGGATGGGAACAAATAGGGATCATTCCCTGCCAAGAGAGGAGGAAAATTCTCCTGGTTTTAGGGCAATTAATTATAAATTATATGTATATAATTTATATATGATAGAATGCAGGAGGCTGCCTAGGACACACAGGAAAAAAAATATAGAACTTACGTGTGTATAATTACGTATATGCGTGTATAAAGGAACGCAGGAGGCTGCCTAGGGCACTACGTACCCCGGCCCTATTGAGCGCGGTCACAGCAGCAGCCCGGAGCGTTTTGCCTGCGCACAGTGTCTCATTACCCCGCATGCGCAGGGTAGGACACGCCCCCCCTCTTGCTCCTCATTGGTTGCTCTCTTCTCCGCTCGCTGCCATTGGTGGAGGGGCGGGGCGACGCGCGGCCATGGCGACGGGCTGCGGCGGCGGGCCCGGGGCTGCGGGCGCTGCGGGCCGAGCGGGCGGGGGGCGGGGAGAGGCGGTGAGGGGCCGGGCTTGGGGGTGTGGTGGGGTAATTTGGGGCAGGGGGGCTGGATGGAGATGTGGGGCTGGAGGAGCGGGGCCAGGTGGGGCTGCACGGGCCCTGCAGTCGGGGTGTGGTCGCAGGGCCGGCTGTGGAGCTGCGGCGCGGGGCTCACTGTGCTGCTTTCCCTCCGCAGTCGCCTCGCAGTGACAGGAGGGCGGGCCAGCGAGGCGGAGGGGCCACGAGGAGCGGGCCCTACACCCTCAGCCGGGCCCCCGCCGCGCTGCGTAAGTGTGAGCCCCGATGGGGCCTCGTGTGAGGAGTTGACGCCCCAATGGGACTCTCGGCCCTCATCCTCCCCTCGGTTGCAGAGAGGCAGCGGGAGCTGGCCAGGGCGGCACTGCGGCGGCACGGGCTGCTGGGAGGGCCCGGTAGGCCCCCAACCAAACCGACAGGCAAAAGGTCAGAGCCCTTCTGTAACGTAAAGGTGGAAACGTTTATCTGTGTGTGGGAGTGCTTTGGGAGTGGGCCAGGGAGGAGTGCCGTGGGGATGGGGTTGAGGATGCTGCAAGGATGAAGGTAAGGGTTAGAATGGAGATGGTGCAAAGCTGGGGTTGGGGATGCTGTGAGGATGGGAATGATGCAAGGTGATGGGGATGGGGATGCTGTGAGGATGGGAATGATGCAAGGTTGGGGATGCTGCAGGGATGGGGATGCTGTGAAGATAGGAATGCTGAGTGGTTGGGGATGCTGCAGAGTTGAAGATGGTGGTGCTGTGAGGATGGGCGTGCTGTGAGGTTGCTGCAAGGATAGGACATGCTGTGTGTTGGGGATTCCTGCTGCTGCCCATCACCTTGCAGCCGTGTCCCCATGCGCTTGCAGGTCAGTGAAGTTTCACAAGGGCTACGTGGCACTCAGCCAGACAGCAGATGAAAGCCTGGTGTCCCTGGACTCAGACAGGTGAGCATCCCATGCTCATTCCAGGTGGGTGTTTTTAGAGGGTCGGCATGCTGGATGAATGCCCTGGGGTGGGATTTGCAGAGGATTAGCCTGTAAACCTCACTGTTCTGGAGTTTTGCCTTGCTGCTTGGAGAGAATAAAGGTGCATCCATGGTTGGGCTGGGCACTTCCTAGCAGCAAAACACCTCTGATCCAAGTTTAGTAAAAGTAATTTACCCAAGTAAACTCCTCAATTCTCTTGGGGCTTTTCGGAGGTTCTCTTGTCTGGCTGCTGAGGGAGCTTGCAGCACTCACTCTGACACCATCTTTTCATCCTAGTGACGGGGAGCTGGAATCGAGGGGCTCCTCTGGCTACTCCTCCGCCGAGGCAAGTCCAGGTTTGGCTCCCAGCCCTTCATGCAGTTCCTGTTGGAGTCCCCTACCCCATTTTCCCCTCAGGGCTCAGCTCTTTGCCTTCATTTCTAATCACAGTTAGAACAAGCTGCTGCTTGTTCTTGAGGTTAACTAAAGCCTGCTGGTCTGTCCCCTGCTGTCGCACCCACCGCAGCATTAACCAGAGCACAAGTGGCATTAACAGGGAGCATTAATCAGCCCCATCTTCTCTCTCCCTTCCAGCAGGTGAACCAGGACCTGAGCCGGCAGCTCCTGCAGGATGGGTACCACCTGGATGAGGTCCCAGATGACGAGGACCTGGACCTCATCCCCCCCAAACCCACCACCTCCTCTTGCCCATGCTGCTTTGGGGATTCTCTCTCCTGTGTGGTCCAGTAGGTGCTGCTCATGTTGGGACACCTCAAAAGCCACCACGTTCCATGTCTCCTGGGATGCTTGGTGGCATCCCAAGAACTCATTACTACGTTACAGCACCCAGCCAGTCCCAAACCACTTCTTGTACAGAGCAGTATCACAGGGGTGGCTCAGTGACATATGGCCACACGGGTGTCATTTGTCACCAGGGTAAGGAGGGGACTCACACCAGTCCCATTCTTCAGCCTTGAACAGCTCAGACACTACGTACCCAGAGTGCCCTAAGACCATGAGCCCACCTCTACCAGGACACTGCTTGACACGGCCCTCCTGAATCTGTTCATTATGCAAAAAAGGTCAAATTTGGAGCAGCTCCCCAAACTCAGCATCGTTACATTCTTCTTTTTGTCTGTGCATCTTTCTCATGCTGCCAGCTGTGCAGGGCAGGAAGGTGCCCAAAGGGCTGCTTGCTTTTTCTTGGGATAGATGTGTTTTTCTTTCTTGTTAGATACAGAAAGGGGCCAACGGCCTCTGTGTTTTATTTATGATGTGTTCCCCCCTTGGGGGCCCTTCTTAGTCATCAGTGCAGCTCAGCCCATTTGGGCATGGATTCGGGGCAGGAAAGTTCTGCCTGGTGCAGGTTTTATAAGCTGCCTTAAATCATGGTCCTGCTGTATTGTAGAGGACAATCAGCTTCTTAAAAACAAACCTTATTTAAATAATCTTTGTCTAAATAATTGAGACTTTTTTGTATACTCCTTGTTGGAGGAAGCACTCAGTAAACTGGATCTTGTTACTCAAAGCGTGTCTTACTGCTCCCTTCCCAGATCCATCCTGTTTCCCTATGGATGCTGGTGTCCAGCAGCCCCGCCACCTCCCTCATCCCCACATCCCCCCTGGAGCCCCCATTTGGGGCTGGGGGAGCCAGCAGTGCATGTGCTGCCTCCTCCAGCTCCACACAAAAGGCTGAGGACAAAGTCACCACTTTATTCAGAGCACCGGTCACTTGAGGACCTCCAGACCCCACTGCCACATGAAGCCACTCCATGGGCAGGTGGACAAGGGGGCATCCAGCACCCAGCTGATCCCAAATCTCCTTCCTCCCGGTGGAAGCCTCAGCATCACATTTGCAGGTGTAAGCAGCGGTTCCTAGAAGAACCCAACAAAGCCACAACACCAAACGAAACATAAATAATTGTCAGATGGTGTTAGCAGCACTGGTAAGGACTGGCCCTGGGGGCTGTGACACTATGGGGACACGAGTGTCTCAGCCCCAAAGAGCTGGTTCAGAAAGCAGAGGAGTGTGAGTTGCTTCTAGAAACTGGATGCAGGTTGCTTTGAGGTTCACTTCTGGGGTGACTTCTGAGCTACTGGCCAAGCCTACTTTGGTTTCTATCTACCCTGGTGTGCGGGGATGCTGGGGATCCTGCTCAGAGCAGGCAGCAGGCTCGGAAAAGCAGCATCCCCTCAGATGAGGACAGGTGCATGGAGATGCTCTCGTTGGCAGAGATGAAGATCACGGAGCCCCGGCGCAGGGTCATTTCAGATGCAGCAGCTGTAGAGGTGCCCATGGCCGTACCCTGGATCACCAGCAGGATACTGGCAGAGTCCAGTGCAGAGATGAGGTAGAGCTTGATTGAGGAGGGAATCTGCAACAGAACGGTGCGGATCTCCTGCACCTTTCCTTCTCTCTGGGACTAAAGGCGCTCATTCCCCTTCCCCACTCTTTCTGCAGACCCAAGACTCCTTCCTCGCTGTCCCTACACCCAAAGCTGCTCAAGAAGCTGAGCAAACCTCAGGAAGAATATGGGATGGAAAGGGGCTGGTCGCCATCCTCCAGCAAACCCACATTGAGAAACCCCAAGTTTAGGCAACATCAGGGCGTCCAGAGAAATTGGGGATAGGATCCCTGGAGGTGCTCAGAGCCATTCTGGGTGGGGCGCTGGGAACCTGGGCTAGTGAAGGGGCAGAGGATTGGCTTGAGATGGTCTTTAAGGTCCTTCTAAGCCAACCCAACCCATCCTACATCCTGCAAAGAGCACGGTCAGGAAGTGGGAAAGCTGATGCTCCCAACAGCCAAAACTCATTCAGGAAGAAAACCTAGCACTGGGGCACCATGGGATCAGCTGAGCAGCTTTGGGGTTTCCCTGCCCTGCGGGAGCAGCTCTGAGGACCCTAAAAACACACCCAGCTCACCTCTATCCTCATCAGCGTGAAGTCAGGCACGGGTGGATCATAGATGAAGACGCACGGGTCCAGAGGGCTCTGCACAGCTGGGAAGATCTTGGAGCTGCTGGGTGCTGGCGTGTAGTTGAGCATCTCACAGAGCGTGAGCACATCAATGAATTTGGGGGTGAGGCCAGCACGCACCGTGTTGTCTGAGCACGCCATGCACTCCACACAGTCTGTGGGGAAGGGATGTCACTGCACACTGGTGCAATGGACCCTGTGCCATGTGCCCATCCCTGAGCTCACCTCCCTGCAGGTAGGCGTGGGGCTCGTTGGCCGCCAGGAACATGGCCTCGCCGGGCTCCAGCCTCACCACGTTGAGGAAGTAGATGGAGAAGCAGCCGATATCCCCGGGGAACTGAGCGTGCAGGCGCAGCAGCAGGTCCCCATTGCTTGGGGACGTGTCCTGCCCTTTGGCCGCTGCAAGAGGAGCACAGCTGGGGTTAGTGGGAGCCCACCCAAATGGAGCTTGGATCCTCCCCACAGATCGGGGTTCCACCATCCTGCGGGTGGGAATTTTGCCCACCTTGTTGGGAAATCCTCTCCACCAGCAGGCTGAGCTGCTGGCTGAAGGTCTCCTTCTCGCTCTTCATCAGGCAGGTGAAGCAGACACGCAGGGCGGCCGAGACGCCGCGGGGATCATGGCTGGCGCTGCGTTCCAACTGCTCAGCTGCCACCTCACCCACCAGCGCCCGCAGCTCGGGGACGGCTGTGATGGGGGCCAATCAGGCACTGCGAGGCCGCCGGGATGGGCACCCTGCATCCCTCCTCTCCACCCAGCAGGGCTTACCCCGCAGGAAGGCAGCGATCTCCTCCACGGGCCGGAAGCCACACAGCCCCTCAAAGGGAGTGAGCGCGATGGCCATCTCGGGTTTGTGGTTGGTATCGGGGTAGTGCTGGGGGAACTGGGCGTGCAGCTTGGCTGCCAGCTCCTAGGGGTGACACAGGGATGTCCCCACGGCTGGGTGGTGGCGGCGTCACCGTGGATACAAGTTGGGGCGCGCTTACCTTGTTGGGGTGAGCCTGGATGGAGAGGGCGGTGCGGACGGACAGCACCTTGAAAAGGAAGGGCAGGCGGCCGCCAAAGGCATCGCACACCTTGGGGCCCAGGCAGGCAGGGTGCTCGGCCAGCCAGGAGCCCAACGTCTGCGGAAGGTCACGGCCATCCAACACCTCGGCATCACCGCTGGGATGGGCGCCCATCCATAGCTGGGGGATAGCGTTACGGCCCGGTCAGCCGCGGAGGAACGGCGGGACACGGGGACGGCGGGACACGGAGACGGCGGGACGGCCTCACCTCGGCGTATGGCCGCTCGGGCTCGATGCTTGCCGCCGGGTCCCCGCTGGCCACCAGCTGTGCCACGGCGCTACGCAGCCCGCGCTGCCCCCAGGCGTAGTTCCTCACCGGGCAACGCAACGGGAACACTGCGGGACAGGGAGGACGGCTGTCACCGCCGCTGCCGCCACGCATGTCCACCCCCCCGGGACGCCCCGCCCGGCGCTCACCTCGCGGCTCCGCCATGTGCGCTGCCGACGCGTCCCCCTGGAGCGCCGCCCGCTGAGCCGCTCACAGCGCGCCCCGCCCCCTCTCGTGGCGTCGTGACGTCACACACAGTCGACGCACGTTGAGGTCACGTGGCGCTCGGCGCAGGCGCGCTAGCGTTCCCGGAAGCGGTGGAGAAACAGCGGAGGGCGGCAGCGCGGAGCGGAGCGGCGACGCTCGGCCGGCACCGTCTACATGTCGAGTTTCGACACCAACCCGTTCGCCGATCCGGTGGACGTGAACCCTTTCCAGGTGCGCTCCGGGACCGCTCTCCTTTTCCCTCTCTTCTCTTCCTCCCCGCGCCGCTCCCCTCCCCTCCCCTCGCGGCCGGCGAGACGTGGCGCTGAGTGAAACCGCGCCGTCCAATGGCGGCGCTGCTCCCCCCGGCCGCAGCCAATCGGAGCGGGGGGGCGGGACCGGGGGGGGTGCGCATCGCGGCAGTGTCCGGCGCCCCCCGGGGCCGCGCTCGTGGGGTCCGGCGCTATTTGGGACCCGGGGCCTGCCTCGCTCCGGGCCTCGGCCTTTCCGGGGGGTTGTGAGGGCTGAGAACTTCTTGTTGTTACTGCCGGGGGGGTAGGGGCACGGCCTTTCTCTGGGGCCACTACGGCCCAGCGGGAGCCTCTGCTGCAGCCGTTTGGGGTTTGTCTGACTCTCAGCACAGAGCTCAAGCAGCGCTTGGGCACCTTTAGGACACAGGGTTGGGTTTGAGTGGGTCTGTGTGGAACCAGGAATGGGCGCAGTGGGCTCTTCTTTGGGCAATTGTTGTGTTATTTCAGCAACCCTGTGGTGTTCTTGGTGAGCTCTCTCACCTTGTGCTCAGTCTTTGCATTCCCTTGTTCTGTGAGAATGGAAGGAAGCAGAGGAGCATCCTTCCTAGCGCCGGTTGTTGTCTTGAAGTACTACAGCATGCACCTTGCTACAGCAGTTCTGTGTCAAGACAGAATTTTAGGAATCAGGCTGGGCCTGAGCACCTCACTGAGCTGTGGGTGTCCCTGGTCGTTGTGGGGGAGTTGCACCAGATGGCCTTTAAGGGTCCCTTCCAGCTCAAAACGATTCTGTGATTCTGCTAAGCTTTCCTATTAACACAATTCATTTCAAATGGAGAATTATTCCACTCTTGGGAACCTGAAATGATGACAATCGGCACCGTGTGTCTATACAGATAGTGAGGGCTGTGGTGAGAGGGGCAGCGGGGGATCTGCTGGCACTGTAGGTCGCTCCTACAACTGACAGCATGTCCCTGAGGCAGGCTCAGCCCAGCTGGGTGAGTGCCTTCAGGTTACAGGCTTCCCCTGGGCTCTGGAACAGGAAACAGCTTGAGGAGATTTGCAGGAGTCCAACAAGCAATTACTCATCAGGAAGGAAAAGAGTGTGACGTCCAGAGCTGAGAAGAGCATGGCTGCTTCCCTAAAGGAGGACAGCCAGGTGCCTTGCTGCATGGGTAGCAGCCTGCAAAGCATCCCAGTGATCAAATGGAGCCACATTTTCTGTGTTTTGCAGCACGAAGGATCAACCTTGAGTTCATTTCCAGAGGACCAGCTATGTGTGAGTTTGCAGCTGGTGGAAATGACCTGTGATATGTCCGTGGTTTGTAGGAGCTGCACCGCTCAGGGCACACCGATGTGTGTCCAAACACTGTAAGGGCTCTGCTTTTTGTGTGTCATTTAGGCACACTTGTAGTGTGGCAGTGTAGTAGTGGCAGGCAGTTAAGCTAATTAAATACTTAATTTAAAGCCGTGCTGGAAGATGAGATCATTTAATATCAAGCTGTGGCTAAGTGGAGTGGTGGGAGCATTCTTCCTGTTGGTGTTACTGGGAACAGTGCTGTTCTCCTGGCCTTTCTGATAGCAGTGCCACTGTCAAATTAACTGCAGGGCTTCCCTTCCCTCTAGAAGCAAGGGATGGAAAGAAGAAACATGTGCCTCGTTGTCCCAGCACATCTCCTCATTCCCTGTTGCTTTTCTTTCAGTTTAATGATTCTTTTCCAATGGTGTGCAGCTTTTCCTTTCTTATTCCTGCGCTTTTATGAA